GATATGGCGACAATGATAAGGACAATAATCCTAATAATATAAATAGGATCTCAACTACTTAGATCTACTAGTATATCTAGTTATATATATTATATCTCAACTAGTTAAATCTACTGCTATCAACGCTTGTGGTTATCTTTATTATTGTGTGGAGTTAGCAGATGGTTTAACTTATATTATGATTGTTTTTCTTATCGTAAAATATCAAACGTGACTATATAAATAGGAACAAGCGGTAAAACATCACTAAGACGGAAAGTAGAGCGCAAATCACGATAAGATACTCGGCTTATATCGACCAGACAATTTGAATATTATTATTATTAAAATCATCAGAAGTATCAGAATACATTTTCGAAACTTAACATGAGGTCCCAATATATTTTTAAAATATACAAAACGATATCTCTATCTATAAAAGGCAGGATGTGTGTGTGTGTGTGTGTGTGTGTGTGTGTGTGTGTGTGTGTGTGTGTGTGTGTGTGTGTGTAACGAATGCACGGCCGCAATTTTCGACGGATTTGCACCGAAATTTACATGCACATGCTCCAAATCAAGCGGAAATGCCAAGACCGACTTTGCATTTCCCAACTCCCATCGATAGTGGAAATAATCGATTTTTTCATGCTTCTACGGCAGTTTTCATGTAGTTTGCGGCCATTTTCTACTGGCCAGAGTGAGAAACCTATAGCTGGCTGCTACGAATAGGCAGGAAGATTCTATTGGCCAGCGTGAGCGCCAACAGCTGACTGACATGAAGGTTAACTAGCATGCAAAAAAAAATCGATAGCTGCATTTGTCACAAGTGGAAAAAATTTAAATCTGCATGGCGCTTTACTCCAATTGGCTCATTCGCTTGCTTAAACTCAACGTTGATTCTGATTCCGCAGAACTGGGTTGGGTGTGAAAAAGTATTTGTTGTTAACATTCTTTTTTCATTCGGTTTTTCCAGTTACAAGTCCTTTTTGTGTTCATTTTGTTTAGTTCTTTTTTTGTAACAGATTTAATGTTTAGTATAGAACTTAGAAAAAATCGCAGTGTGAGATAGGAAAGAAGTAAGGCATGTAGCAACATCAGTACGGCAAAGGGCGCTCCTTTAAAGGCAAGGAAAGGCAAGGAAAGGCAAAAATATTTTAAGTCAAGTGATAGCGATTGCTGTATGAGTCGTACGATTTTTTAATCAAGCACGGGCAACGCCGGGCCATGCTTCTAGTATACAATAAAATTATACAGGATATTCGGAAAGTTATTTTTGTCTTTTCTAATCGTATTATTTATTTCGGATTTCGCTCCAATATGGTTTTAACAACATTGCTTATAATTTTAGTTCATATTCTCATTGTGTATTCTGTATTGAAGCGAGTGTCTTATTAAAATATAAGTGCGTCGTGACTTGCCGGACAACTTGTAGAAATTGATCCATTTAAAATTTGTTCACATATCATAAAAATAATTTTCTGCTTAATTTTCAAGAACTATATTTGTTAGACGATTGGCCAGAGAGATGATTTATATTTGCTGGAGGATTGGCGAGGAAAGTGAACTTTCAGATGTGTTTGGACTGGGGAGGCGAACATTTGAGAAGTACCTGAAAATTATACGACGCGTGGATCCATTCCTCGTGAGTGAAATTTGGCGGACAAAACTGTTCAGAAATTAACATAAATCACCGAGGGTTTGGGCGTACAGGCCGTGTTGGAAAAAATTGACCAAGCCAGATCATTTTTTCTCACAAAAACTGTAACGTGGAGGGCCTCTGTGCTCAGAATAGTTGTAGTATAAACGACAGAGCTGGGGTCTGCAATAGGGTTTGGTTAGCCACCCTGTCAAACAGAAATGGGTACGGACATTATGTATTTGTCATAAAAAATGTTTACCTTTTTCCATTCATTTTCACTCGATTCTTTGACTTTAATTCCGACATTGGCGTAAAAGTGCTTGTGGCTAAATACTGGTTTGGGAACTATATCTTATCACTGTCGAAATTTTAGCGTGAGGTCCTTTTTTATTTTTATTAAATGACATAACGTTTTCGTAGACGAAGAAAAATTGTGCGCAAATGTGATTCATATTACATACCATCTTCATCATGGGCAATTCGACGTGGTGTCATTGTCTCGCTAGATCTATTTACGACTGAGTAATGAGTTCGATCCTCACTGGATTCTCTATACTTTCAGCCTTGTGTCGCATTCAAGCTATGCTTGGAAAACCATTTAGAGCTCTTCGACATGGTGTAATGGTTAACAATCTTATCTCGCTAGATCTATTTACGACTGAGTAATGAGTTCGATCCTCACTGGATGCTCATACACTTTCGACCTTGTGCCACATCTAATCATTTAGAGAGCTTCGACGTGCTGTAATGGTTAACAAGCTTATCTAGCTAGAACTATTTACCTCAGTGGGCACTCCACAGTTTCGGCCTTGTGTTTAGAAAATCACCAGATTTCCTTCATCATCACCATTTCAGTAGTAACTCTATAACTTGAGTGCGTTAGCTAGTCTTGTACTGGGTGAAATTTAGTTTTAAAACACATGGTAGTAGTGATTTTCCAAGCGTAGCTCAGATGTGACATAAGGCCGAAAGTATGTGATACCCAGTGAGGATCGAACTCACTATTCAGTTGTAATAGTTCTAGCGAGACAAGCTTGCTAACCATTACACCACCTCGAGGTGCCCCAAACACATGGTAGTAGTAAGGTTACTATTAATCGTTGAGTAGACATATATTGGAACAATTTAGAAACTGTGCTGAGTACTAAAAGTACCTAAACCGGCGGATAAGAATGTGCAGGCGTATTACTGAGTTATAGATTTGTGCCTATTCTATACAGAATACTATGATGGAAGCCAGTGGTTGTTCATTCGACCTAAAAACCTCTGCATTGTGTGCGCGTGCGTCGAACTGGAACGTGATCTTATATTGTTTATGGCTGTTCCAGTTGCCCCAACTGACATATACAGTAAAATATTATCTTTGGTTATTACACATTGGTAACATAAGTATTCCCGGTAGCAGGTTGTAAAGACATTGGCAGTGGCAATGTCTAACCATTGAAGATGTAACATCTTTCTTCACAACATTCAAAATGGCGGCGTTCTTACAATTTCTTTTGTGACGGAAAGACTAAACCGTTGTTATACGACATAAGTTAATACTTAGGTTTACATTTTCTAACAAAAATAGCTAATTATAATGGGATTGCATTTTAATGTTATTTAATCTTTTAGTAACATCTTTTTTATACAAAAATGTTGATTTAAATCTTGCTCTGAATGCATATTTATTGTTATACAGTATAACAATTGTAGTACAAGGCTAAAGGTGAAATGGGGTAAGGCAGGTCAATGTTAACTATTCTAGACCTAGCTAATCAGATTCACAACACATTCATTCATTACAATTTGCTTATTCACCACAAGAATTCATCCATCACCATTCAATACTACATATATCACAATACCACATATTCACAGAGAACCTACAAAAACCGCAGGACGTAAAATATCAAAAAGTTCAAATGGTGTCTTTGTTTTCTTTATTTGGCTTTTTATTTTTTGTTATAAAAATATGATGATCATGAAATGAGTTGGGTAGGGGATGAACCCATAAACAAAAGCAAAATATATTAGTAGGAATCGTCCACCCTACAAAAAATAAGAGCAGCCGCTGTATTCTGCCTTTAGACAGAATCAAGAAGCTCACTCCCTAACGGAGAGGGAAGGTCGCCATATTTATGGTTAAGATAGACTCTTTTTGTTTGCCTAGTTAATGTGAGCAAGTGTTATTCCAGGCCTATTCCCAGCGTTCTCTTTTATTATGACCCATGTCGAGATTCCCAACCTTTTTGTCCACTTTTTTTTGCATTTCCACTTAGTTTTTGATTTTCCCACTCCGTCATTTATTTTTATCCTTCCCTCTCAATTACCTATCTATATTTCTGAGATGAGGTATTATGTACACTATTTACATTATTCGGACTATTGTCCTCATCTTTGTCGCCATAATTATTACAAGGTTTCGGCCGTTGTACGCTCCGGCCTTCTTCAGGTGGTTGGAATATCGAACTAATCCCTTTATTTCGCTCACTGGGGTAGACACATGACACAGTGGATAAAGGCGTTGGTTAGGTCCAGTGCGGGACCCAAGAAGTTTGAGTTCAATACCCGGTTAAAGCAGTAGAGAACTTGGCGAGGGGAATTAACAGGCGATAACTGATAACTGACATCTATTAAACATTGCTCGTGGAACTAGAACAGTCTACCCCAGTGAGTGAAATAAAGGGTGACATTTTCTTAAAAAAACGGTGACTCTATTTGCGCCATCCTTATATTAGGAAAGCATCCTTGGTACCAGCCAGATGATCCCACACTTTGAGATTTCTTCCGGTGTTTCTGATCAGAGTAATCCCACCAGGAACATCCGGAAAGTTCCCTGGATCTTCCGTAGATTTGCTATTTACTGTCGAGCACTTAGATAAAAGCCTCAAGAGGGCCTTCCTCTAGGAGGAAAGGTCTCACTGAATAGCCTGTCTGTCCACATGACACAGATCCCCCCTCAAAGCGAACCTTTTACTTTTCTATTCCTGGGAATTATAGGGGAGGGGAAATGGTGCCCTAGAGAAAAACTCCTTGCCTTACTTGGTAAAAGTTCTTCATCAGTTCTGCTTGGTGAAGTAGAGGCGGGTTGTGTCTTAGTTGCAATCAGGGCTTTTCCCGCTCTCCTGCGTCCAGAATTCCTCTTAATAAACTCCAAGTCCTCTTCCTCGTCCCTCCCGCTTTTCAATGAGGAGGATCGAGGTGGAGGCCTTTCTTCCACCTCTATGAATAAATCCAGCTCTGGAAGTACAAGAGCTTGCTCTTCAGTCTGATGCTGCTCTGCAACTTGCTCCTGCTCTGCAGTAGTTGGCTCCTTCTGCTGCCTCTGTTCTTTAGCAGGTTGCTTTGGCTACGACTGCTCCGCCTTCCGTTGCTGCCGCCCTTGTTCTTTGGTAGTCTACTTTTGTTGCTGCTCCACCCGCTGGTCCTCCTGCGACGCCTTCTGCTGCTTCTTGGGTGAGACGCCCTTCTTTAGTGGGACATCCTGTTGAGAAGGAGGAGGAGGCGAGAGACCAGCAGACTTCTTACCATTCTTGACGACGCTTGTCCATTCATTGGAGCTATTTGGAGATTGGCTGGACTTTCCATATCCACTACTTCTGCAAGTGCTTCTCCAGATGATGTTGTTGGTGTTGCTGATGATGTTGATGGAGTCGGGTTCTTCCCAGGACACACTCGAGATACGTCTCCCGCGGGACAACAAGCCCAGCAGTTGAGACGGCAGCTCTCCACAACAACGAAGATGTTGCGGCTTCGACATGTTAGAATATCCGGGTCGTATACGAAATTCTTGCGGATCAAAGTGATTTGCAAGACATAGTCCCCAGTCGCAATGCCCGTTTTTCCGGATACTGCTGCTACCTCTCTAAATTGGGAGAAGAAAACCCCAATCCTCTCCTCCGTGATGTCCATAGGCGACTCCGCCATCCTGAACGTGTCCCTTCAAACCGAACAACGACAAACATCCAGAAAAACGTAGAAAAACAGAAAAAATACAGCTACAAGAAGAATACGTAGAAAAAAATCTTGACTTACAGAGTTCTGGCGTACAACGCTATGGGCGAGTTCCTAGTTCACTGGGAATCCTACATCGTCGGAAATGGAAGAAATTTTGCTCTGAATGTCTGCAAAAATTTTACAGACAGAAGCAAACAAATGCATGCTGGGATTTTTTCCTAGCCAATAAAATAAGCCAGTTTGCAGTTTCACCTGACTCAGTCCCGATCTGTCTTGTCTTGAAGTCAGAACGCTACGTACGCTTATCCGAACTTGCTTTTGTGTGTCAGCGCCAATTCTTTGTTTCTGAACGTTTTGTCATACTACTGTTGATATGTTTTGCACATACTGTTTACTTGCTTTATATTCTCTCTGCCCTGTTCTTTTCTTTTTTTTTTTATTGTTATTGCTTATTGCACACTTTGTCAATTCTGTTTGTTGCACAGTTCTGATACCTATTTTGCATTTAACCCCACAAAAAGAAATAAAATATGTAAACATCTCTTTGTTTAGTTACTATTTAGTTGTATATGGTAATCCTTCACTTAAGCGGCGTAAAATGATCCGTCAAAGTTCTGCTTCACTTAAGCGGCGTAAAATAAACTTCAAATATTTTAATTTTAATTTTATAAATGCTCTTTGCTTAAAATAATTTTTATTTTATTCACTAACCTTTTGATTTTATTCTGTTTCCTTTCAGCCGTGTCACGTGGCAGACAAAGTGCCCCACAGTCAATCATCGATCTCATTTAATTATTATCACAGATATCAATTAATATCATCAGATATTTTACAAGAATATTGATGTTTATTGGAGCATGGTAATGATCTTAGACAACCTATAACTGTGATGCGTTAGTTCAGCATTTATTTGCGTAGTCCACCATTACCCTTTTTAATAATGTTTAAGTGTAATAAACGTATATACCTTGGTTTAACTGATTCTACGACATTCAGGGAATAGCAGTTTATTTTATGTCGCTTAAATGAAGGATTGTTATCAATATATTTTGATCTTTGAAGAATCGATATATTTTACTAAATGCTTTTATCGCTCTTCAGAGTTAAATGTCTGAAGAAGAGAACTAGAGACTCTGTAATAAGGAAAAAGATAGATAGATAGATAGATAGATAGATAGATAGATAGATAGATAGATAGATAGAAATAAAAAGAAACTGTAATAGATAGATAGATAGATAGATAGATAGATAGATAGATAGATAGATAAAAATAAGAAGAAACTGTAATAGATAGATAGATAGATAGATAGATAGATAGATAGATAGATAGATAGATAGATAGATAGATAGAAATAAAAAGAAACTGTAATAGATAGATAGATAGATAGATAGAAATAATAAGAAGAAACTGTAATAGTATTGGAGAAAGAAAAAAGAGATAGATAGATAGATAGATAGATAGATAGATAGATAGAGAGATAGATAGAAATAAAAAGAAACTGTAATAGATAGATAGATAGATAGATAGATAGATAGATAGATAGATAGAAATAAAAAGAAACTGTAATAGATAGATAGATAGATAGAAATAAAAAGAAACTGTAATAGATAGATAGATAGATAGATAGATAGATAGATAGAAATAAAAAGAAACTGTAATAGATAGATAGATAGATAGATAGATAGATAGATAGAAATAAAAAGAAACTGTAATAGATAGATAGATAGATAGAAATAAAAAGAAACTGTAATAGATAGATAGATAGATAGATAGATAGATAGATAGATAGATAGAAATAAAATAAAAAGAAATAGATAATAGATAGATAGATAGATAGATAGAAATAAAAAGAAATAAAATAGAAACTGATAATAGATAGATAGATAGATAGATAGATAGAAATAAAAAGAAACTGTAATAGATAGATAGATAGATAGATAGATAGATAGATAGATAGATAGATAGATAGATAAAAATAAGAAGAAACTGTAATAGATAGATAGATAGATAGATAGATAGATAGATAGATAGATAGATAGATAGATAGATAGATTAGAAAAAAGGAAGAAGAGGTTTGCCAAAAGAAGTTATTTATTCTGACAGTGAATGAAACCAGTCCGAAGCGTTCAGAATGATAGGGAAATCCAGGGAACTCGATATAATTATAAAAATCATGTTCAAAAGACAAGTCTTCTGAGAAATGTTGAAGCCCCAGTCGACAAAAACACATCTTTGAAAATGCTTGAGAAACTAATAAAAGGACCTCAAGAATGGGGCATTTCACAGTCAAAACATAACTTGTTGCCATCGAGGCTTTGGGAATGATATCAAAAAGAATTTCTATTCTTCTTCCCAAGAACGATTACTTTGTGGAACAGCCTCCTGAGAAGATACTTTTACGATCACTATAATCTTGGTCACTTCATGTCTAGAGTTAGTCGTCATTTTACCTATATAGCCTCATAATCTTAACTCCCTCTTACTTTCATACAACCTCATTCAGTAACACTCTACTTTGAGTGGCTCTTAAGTCGATGGTTGACCGTTATCTTTCCTACATAATCTCATAAATGGCACTCTTTATTTCCTCCTCTTCCGCTCAACAACCTCATTCATTAACCCTCTACCTTGAATGGCTCTTGGGTCTTGTATTGAGTGTATATTAGTAACAAGAAAATCCTGGCAGCCCTAAAATATGTGATTCGCCAAAAACCAAAATCATCCTCATGGGTACTTCTCACATTTTGCGTAGATTTCTCTTCTTATTTCTCTCCCTGGTTGCATGGTACCTCGTTTCTGATACAGAAAACGTTTGGTCTCTTCAAGTCTCTGGTTGCCACTTGGGATAACATGTACTATGCAAAAGCATTAATAATCAAAATACAAAGGCCTTTGAAGTAGAAATCTAAAAAAAACATCAATAATTCCAATTGTGGTTGGAACTTCCGGCTTGATCGGAAAAAGTTCCGATAGGCTCACTGAAAAGATCACTAGAAGTCCATGCCTTAAAGAAATACAAAAGAAATTATTCCCACAAGTACAGCTCACACCTTACGAAAAGCTTTATCTATGTAAAATGTGTGGGATCTTAAATTGTGTTTTTCTTCTTTTTATTTATGTCCAGTGGAAAATGTTATGATTCCATTTCTGACCTTAGGTCTCTGGTTGAGACCCGGAAGGAAATTAGTATACAACAGAAATCAAAGGAAATAATAATAATAATAATAATAATAATAATAATAATAATAATAATAATAATAATAATAGACTAATTGAAGAGATTCCTGGAAGTTTATGTCTTAAAGAAATACAAAAAAATGCTCTCACGAGTACAGCCGATATCTAACAAAGGCCTTTATCTATGTAAAACATGTTTGTGTGTTTTTGTTGGTTTTTTTGTTTGTTTGTTTGTTAGTTTATTTTTTTTTTTAATTGGTCAGTGGAAAAATGTCATGATGCCATTTCTAACCTTAGATCTCTGGGCGGGACACAGAAAGAAATGTGTACACACCAAAAGGAAATAATAATAATAATAATAATAATAATAATAATAATAATAATAATAATAATAATAATGATAATAATAATAATAATCTGATCTGAAGGGTGAGATTGTCAGATGATGGAAAATGTTGGAGAAAAATATTTAAGAACCAAAATAAATACAATGTCCCCGAGAATCAATAGAATGTGACATCTGAAAACAACAGCGTTACCTGTTTTTTTTTGGGTGGGGGGGGGCTTTCCAAATTATATCAAAAGGAGAAAACAATTATGCAGATCAAATTCCTGGTAGCCCTAAAATAAATGAAATAAGGGTATCCCTTAAATCTGGCGTAGATTTCTCTCCATACAGAGACCCCATGTTTAAATGTTTTCTCTCTCACGGGTTGCGTGGTACTTCATCTGTTTGCATCTTCTGATACAAAGAAAAAAGCCCATATAACTTGCTATCTCTTGAAGTCCCGGGTTGAGATTTAGGGGCAACTCATATTATACAAAGCTAAGACAAAACAATAATAATAATACAAACTGCCAACTAACTGACATGACTTGTCTATAGAATTCCAATGTTTCTAAAAAAAAGAATTTCAAAAATTGCCAAATTATAAGGACATGCAAGTCGAAGTAACAAAAATGTGAAAACTTAAAACTACGATTGTCTCTGTTGTGATGGGGACATTGGGTAGGATAAAGAAAGGTACCGAAAATTATGTACGTAAAATCCATGGATACATCAGTACCTCAGAGCTACAAAAGATAACTTTGTGCAGAACTGCACATATCATCCACAAAACATTCTCCAGCTAATTGAAACGTCCCAAATGTACATAGATAACTATCCTATAATGCCGTTTTTACTCATAGCCAACGGAGGTGACTTGGTAAATAGGAATATATATCAGCCCACAATTTACAAGAATCGTTAATTCTGGTCAGCAATATTAAAATTCTATATAGATCACAGATTGATTGATCGATTCGTTTTCTACGGCTTATCAACCCTCTGCAGGTTATTTAAAGCCAGAAAATATTTGAAGATTGTGAGATATTTTCGAGATAATAATGGTTTAGTGATACAGTTCTTAAAGATTAAACCATAGCTGGCGGAGAAGAGGTGCATTCATAACTTTCCCCCAAGCATATTTGCATGTAAGCGAATATAACGAACCTGACAGGAATTGGAAATTTGTTGTCCGATTTCCAATTCACCACCCACACATCCAAACTTACAGCACCTGGTATTTCTAAGTGGTCACCCATCTAGGTACTGAACATGAACAAGCACAACGTTGCTTAACTTCGGTGATCGTACGGGAACTGGTGTTTCAACGCGATATGGCCGTAAGTCTGTAACTTTTAATCTTCGATGTCAAGACGAGCAAACCAAAAGGAACTTCACTTTTTAATTATGGTTTCACAATAAAGAACTGTTACTTTAGCGATATTGTCAAATGATCACTTCCGGCGAGATTGAAGACGTTGTTCTACCAGTGTCCAATGTAGGTTTGGTTAGGTTTGGTTTGTTTTTATCAACCTCAATGGGTTATTTAATGCCGACAAGATTTTTATCGCTGGTAATATTTTTTTTCAAAAATGTATTGCTGCTAATATTTTTTTTCCAAAAATGTATTGCTGGTAATATTTTTTCAAAAATGTATTGCTGGTAATATTTTTTCAAAAATGTATTGCTGGTAATATTTTTTTTCAAAAATGTATTGCTGGTAATATTCTTTTTCTTCAAAATTTATTGCTGGTAATTTTCTTTATAAAAACGTATTGGTGGTACTGAAACCTATTTTTATACTTCCGTAGTGTTTTGACCCCAGTTTGGGGTTTAACTATTTGCCCATAATCGGGACCATAACAGGTGCTGCTACCCCGGGTCAGGGTGGACCTGGGAACACTAGCAATTAAGAGGTGGTTTCACGCTCCTCAAAGGCTCCTGATCAGAGGCCTTGCTGTTGGATGTAGTTTATCGTCTTACCCAGGACACGGATGTAGTTTATCGTCTTACCCAGGACGCGGATGTAGTTTATCGTCTTACCCAGGACGCTGATGTAGTTTATCGACATACCCAGGATGCTGATGTAGTTTATCGTCTTACCCAGGACACGGATGTAGTTTATCGTCTTACCCAGGATGCTGATGTAGTTTATCGTCTTACCCAGGATTCTGATGTAGTTTATCGTCTTACCCAGGACGCGGATGTAGTTTATTGTCTTACCCAGGACGGTGTCCAGTGTAGTATGTAGTGATTATCAAAGCAATGATGACGGCGGTCAATATTTAGATTTGAATATTTCATTTCGATACTTTTTAAACCAGTGTGAACTTATCATATTATCTTTTTATAGTATGTGAAATGATTTGAAAACATTTAAACAGTTTACATTGAAACATCTTTCTTTTCTTTTTATTTTACCGATGCTGTCCTGATTACCATTCCTCTGTTCTCGTGCTTTAGCGATGTTACTATTTCTAACTCTTCCCCGCCCAGTAACCCACTTGCATCTCAGTGGCTTCACTGCCTTGTTTTGGGTGAACTTGTTGAAAACTAATATAAAATATAAACAAACATTTAAGGAATTTGTACTCAGCATACAAATTCTTGCGGGAAAATATAGCAGCCTGAATACTAATCAAAATCCTAATTGGCTTATGAAAATCGTGTTGTTTCTGTCTTTTTCTTTTAATCTTCCGAGAATTTTTCCTCTATTTTGATTTCTTCTTGCATTGGTTTCACTATTCTTTTCTCTCTATTTTTTTTTTTAATTCTTACCGGCCTTTTATCAGGTTCGTTCTCTGTTCTTTTTTGTGTGTTTTGCGTGCCTTCTTTTATCCGATGGAACACAGAAACCGGTGAATCCTCTTCCTCTTACAATTCTCTTTTTATTAAATCTATCTGTATCATCTCCGGGTTGGAGATCCGTTAATTCATCGATTTAATTTCCTACGTTTTCCAGTCTAGGAAGTGCCCGGAATAGGTCACAAATGATACGTTTCAGATATTTATCCTTTTAAGTTTGTATTTTTCATTTTTTTTCTTTTTGTTGGACTTTTCTTATTCCTTTTTTATTCGTTCATTCATGTTCTCTGGTTTTATAGAACTGCATTCAAGATGTTTGTAATGATCATTTACGTTTAGTGTCCTAGTTAATTTCTTATATAGCATTTCACTTGCATTTGTTGTTACATATTTTCCTTTATTCATACTGCAATTTTTTCTATACCAGATTTCACGCAAATATATTTACTAAACTTCCTGTTTTAATCAAACTGTCTTGGTCATTTTGTCTTTTCTGGATAATTTCATTTCATCCATGTATGGAAGTGCTGCAAGTTTCTCTGTCAAACCTAGAAGCACTTCACTCCTAGAATTCTCATTTTCAGTTATTTCATTATCCGGGGGGTGATTCGTTTTCTTTTTGCCATCATATTCATAAATTGAAATTCTCCTTTAGAATTCTTTGAGATTATTTTTAATGATACAATGGAAATAGTAAATAGCAGTAATAACAGTCGGTCTCTCTGAAGGATAACTCGTTTGATATGTGTTTTCCCTCGCTATTCGAAAACAGAGCATTTCAGTTAAACCTTTCGCCAGCCGAAATGGCGTAAAACGAAGAAGCGAGTAGTATTATTTTATATGGGAAATATTTTGAAAGTTCCCAAGTCCAAAAATAACGTGTGATTTTTGCTAAAACTGACGTCGCCACACAAATTATAGGAAATTATAGAAAAGTATTACATTATAGAAAATTATAGAAAAGTATTACTGTTATTCCTGAGAAAACTGGTTCTCTGTGTCGTGTCAGACATTTTTTCTCTACAGAATCTATTTTACATATAAGTCTACCATTCGCCCGTGCTTACATTGTTGCTGCCACATATGGTCCGGTGCTCCTGCAACATATTTAGAGATTCTTGATAAATCCAAAGAAGAATCCGCAATGTTCTCAATTCTGACCTGGCATCTCGGCTTCAGTCACTGAGAATTTCCAACGCAGATTAGTAACTCAAGATGAAACTTGGGTTCACTACTTCTAACCTGAATCAAAGATTCAAAGCAATGAAAACACTCCACCCAGGAAGAAGTTAAAGCAGCCAGTGTTTGTTGGCTAGGTGACGGTTTCAGTTTTTGGAATATTGAAAGCGTAATCATGATAGACTACCTGGAAAAGGGAAATGGTAAGAATTAAGACAAATGAAGAAAGCAGTCAAGTCGAAACGCAGAGGGAAGCTGAGGGTAGGTGGGCTCTAGCTCCAGGATAACTCGCCCGTTCACACTGTTCAGGTTACAGTAGCTGAAGCAGAAAATTGTGGCTTTGAATTGCAACCCCATCTCCCTTACACACCAGACTTAGCTCCATCTGATTTTTTCCTGTTTCTGTGGTCGCCATTTTGGAAACAACGATAACATCATATATGCTGTGGAGGCGTTTTAGGAGGACCAGGACGCCACCCTTTTCCACGATGGGATTGGCAATGCTTACCCATCGTTGGACCAAGTGCATTGATCTCAAGTGGGACTATATTGAAAAAATAGTAAAAACTGTCTTGTTTATCCAACTTCTTCTGGGTGAGGTTTAGAATGTTGTGAACGACCCTCATATATCATAGCTTTTGATCGAAGAGCCGATTTCCAATTCCGGTTGGGTTTGTTATATTCACTTACGCACAAATACCCTCGAGAAAGGTATGAATTGATCACTTCTCCTCCCATCTATGGGTTAAAAAGCAAGTCTTATATCACTAAAATGTCATTATTTAAAAAAAAACAATTCTTATAATCTACAAATATTTTCTGGCCTTAAATAACCTGCAAAGAGTGATAAGCCGTAAAAAATCAATCAATCAATCCTAATTCCTGTGCTTCCAACCGTTTGCACAAGCTCGTTATATAGGTTATTCGCTGCTTTTATCTATCCATCTTACCTTTAATATATATCAAATTCTCCAAGCCCTCTGTCCTTTTAGTTTCCTATTATGACGAATATCAGAAGTACCAGATGATGAATAATCTGACAGAAATCCAAAGGCGTATTGGTATAGGAAAAGATGCTCTACGAAAACTGAGCATACGAAAAATAAATAGGAAAATTTCATTAGAAACAAAGAAAACACTTCATAATATCTACGTAATATCAATTCTCCTAAATGGCAATGAGTGTTGAACAATTTCGTAACAGATGAAGAGGGCAACTGAGACAATCAAGATGTCCTACAGAAGGATACTGAAAATACCACGGACGGATTATGCATGCAATGAGGAAGTTTTAAGTAAAATGGGAACGAAAAGGACATTTTGATTAGGATAAAAAAAGTTGAAGTGCCTGGGACACGTAATGAAGAAAAAAGGTTTGGCAAATTTGCCACTCACAGGACATACTGAAGATAAGAAGGGCTGACAAGCTTATGACTTTGAAGGATAAACAGGAGACAAACATTCCTTAGAGATACAATGGATAGAAAGTTGTGGAGAGCCATGATCACCTCCGTCCTGAAGTGATGGGGAGCATGAAAAAGAACCGTCAAAGTGTTCATTTCACCCCTGTTGTAACCTAGAAAAGGTTACTGAATGAGGAATAACCAAAATGGAGGTTGGAAATGAAATAGTAATCTTTATAACATCAACAAAATACAATACTCGCCAGCGGCGCGAAGTAGGTAAACCACAGCTAGTGGCGGACTACTTAGACAGTATATTACCTCCGCTTACAGTAGTGTCCAACGTATTTATGATGATTGGGATCATACTCATTAGTGTTCATAGGTATGGTATATAACATCCCCAAATAAGGCAATAAAGCTACTAAGGTACAAATGGTTACTGAGAGTGAGAAAATATAAGAAAAACATCATTAAAGAGAGAGAAAAATAAGAGAGAGAAAAATAAGAGAGAAAAAAACATCATTAAAGGGAGAGAAAAATAAGAGAGAAAAAACATCATTAAAGAGAGAGAAAAATAAGAGAGTGAAAAATAAGAGAGAGAAAAACATCATTAAAGAGAGAGAAAAATAAGAGAGTGAAAAATAAGAGAGAGAAAAACATCATTAAAGAGAGAGAAAAATAAGAGAGAAAAAACATCATTAAAGAGAGAGAAAAATAAGAGAGAAAAAACATCATTAAAGAGAGAGAAAAATAAGAGAGAGAAAAATAAGAGAGAAAAAAACATCATTAAAGGGAGAGAAAAATAAGAGAGAAAAAACATCAGTAAAGAGAGAGAAAAATAAGAGAGTGAAAAACATCATTAAAGAGAGAGAAAAATAAGAGAGAAAAAACATCATTAAAGAGAGAGAAAAATTAGAGAGTGAAAAATAAGAGAGAGAAAAACATCATTAAAGAGAGAGAAAAATAAGAGAGAAAAAACATCATTAAAGAGAGAGAAAAATAAGAGAGTGAAAAATAAGAGAGAGAAAAACATCATAAAAGAGAGAGAAAAATTAGAGAGTGAAAAATAAGAGAGAAAAACATCATTAAAGAGAGAGAAAAATAAGAGAGAGAAAAATGAGAGAGTAAAACATCATTAAAGGGAGAGAAAAATTAGAGAGTGAAAAATAAGAGAGAAAAAACATCATTAAAGAGAGAGAAAAATAAGAGAGTGAAAAATAAGAGAGAGAAAAACATCATTAAAGAGAGAGAAAATTAGAGAGTGAAAAATAAGAGAGAAAAAAATCATTAAAGGGAGAGAAAAATAAGAGAGAAAAAAACATCATTAAAGAGAGAGAAAAAAAAGAGAGAAAAAAACATCATTAAAGAGAGAGAAAAATAAGAGAGTGAAAAATAAGAGAGAGAAAAACATCATTAAAGGGAGAGAAAATAAGAGAGTGAAAAACATCATTAAAGAGAGAGAAAAAAAGAGAGAAAAAACATCATTAAAGAGAGAGAAAAAACAGAGAGTGAAAAATAAGAGAGAAAAACATCATTAAAGGAGAGAAAAATAAGAGAGTGAAAAACATCATTAAAGAGAGAGAAAAATAAGAGAGAAAAAACATCATTAAAGAGAGAGAAAAATTAGAGAGTGAAAAATAAGAGAGAGAAAAACATCATTAAAGGGAGAGAAAAATAAGAGAGTGAAAAACATCATTAAAGAGAGAGAAAAATAAGAGAGAAAAAACATCATTAAAGCGAGAGAAAAATTGGAGAGTGAAAAATAAGAGAGAGAAAAACATCATTAAATGGAGAGAAAAATAAGAGAGTGAAAAACATCATTAAAGAGAGAGAAAAATAAGAGAGAAAAAACATCATTAAAGAGAGAGAAAAATTAGAGAGTGAAAAATAAGAGAGAGAAAAACATCATTAAAGAGAGAGAAAAATAAGAGAGAAAAAATAAGAGAGAAAAAATAAGAGAGAAAAAATAAGAGAGAGGAAAATAAGAGAGAGGAAAATAAGAGAGAGGAAAATAAGAGAGAAAAAATCATCATTAAAGAGAGAGAAAAATAAGAAAAATAAGAGAGAAAAATCATTAAAAGGGAGAGAAAAATTAGAGAGTGAAAAAAAGAGAAAAAAACATCATTAAAGAGAGAGAAAATAAGAGAGTGAAAAAAGAAGAGAAAAAACATCATTAAAGAGAGAGAAAAATTAGAGAGTGAAAAATAAGAGAGAGAAAAACATCATTAAAGGGAGAGAAAAATAAGAGAGAGAAAAACATCATTAAAGAGAGAGAAAAATAAGAGAGAAAAAACATCATTAAAGAGAGAGAAAAATAAGAGAGTGAAAAATAAGAGAGAGAAAACATCATTAAAGGAGAGAAAATAAGAGAGTGAAAAACATCATTAAAGAGAGAGAGAAAAATAAGAGAGAAAAAACATCATTAAAGAGAGAAAAAATTAGAGAGTGAAAAAATAAGAGAGAAAAAACATCATTAAAAAGAGAGAAAAAATAAGAGAGTGAAAAACATCATTAAAGAGAGAAAAAATAAGAGAGAAAAAAACATCATTAAAGAGAGAGAAAAAATTAGAGAGAAAAAAATCATTAAAGAGAGAGAAAAATTAGAGAGGAAAAATGAGAGAAAAAACATCATTAAAGAGAGAGAAAATAAGAGAGACAAAAACATCATTAAAGAGAGAAAAATAAGAGAGTGAAAAACATCATTAAAGAGAGAGAAAAATTAGAGAGTGAAAAAAAAGAAGAGAGAAAAACATCATTAAAGGAGAGAAAAAATAAGAGAGTGAAAAACATCATTAAAGAGAGAGAAAATTAGAGAGTGAAAAATAAGAGAGAAAACATCATTAAAGAGAGAGAAAATTAGAGAGTGAAAAATAAGAGAGAAAAAACATCATTAAAGAGAGAAAAATAAGAGAGAAAAATAAGAGAGAGTAAAACATCATTAAAGAGAGAGAAAAAAGAGAAAAAAAAACATCATTAAAGAGAGAAAATTAGAGAGAAAAAAATAAGAGAGAAAAAACATCATTAAAGAGAGAGAAAAAATTAGAGAAAAAATAAGAGAGAAAAAAATCATTAAAGAGAGAGAAAAAAGAGAGAGAAAAAATAGAGAGAGTAAGACATCATTAAAGGGAGAGAAAAATTAGAGAGTGAAAAATAAGAGAAAAAAAATCATTAAAGAGAGAGAAAAATTAGAGAGTGAAAAATAAGAGAGAGAAAAACATCATTAAAGGGAGAGAAAAATAAGAGAGAGAAAAACATCATTAAAGAGAGAGAAAAATAAGAGAGTGAAAAATAAGAGAGAGAAAAACATCATTAAAGAGAGAGAAAAATAAGAGAGAATAAAACATCATTAAAGAGAGAGAAAAATAAGAGAGTGAAAAATAAGAGAGAGAAAAACATCATTAAAAAGAGAGAAAAATAAGAGAGAAAAAACATCATTAAAGAGAGAGAAAAATTAGAGAGTGAAAAATAAGAGAGAGAAAAACATCATTAAAGAGAGAGAAAAATTAGAGAGTGAAAAATAAGAGAGAGAAAAACATCATTAAAGGGAGAGAAAAATAAGAGAGAGAAAAACATCATTAAAGAGAGAGAAAAATAAGAGAGTGAAAAATAAGAGAGAGAAAAACATCATTAAAGAGAGAGAAAAATAAGAGAGAAAAAACATCATTAAAGAGAGAGAAAAAATAAGAGAGTGAAAATAAGAGAGAGAAAACATCATTAAAGAGAGAGAAAAATAAGAGAGAAAAACATCATTAAAGAGAGAGAAAAATTAGAGAGTGAAAAATAAGAGAGAGAAATACATCATTAAAGGGAGAGAAAAATAGAGAGAGAAAAACATCATTAAAGAGAGAGAAAAATAAGAGAGTGAAAATAAGAGAGAAAAACATCATTAAAGAGAGAAAAAAATAAGAGAAAAAACATCATTAAAGAGAGAGAAAAATAAGAGAGAGAAAAACATCATTAAAGAGAGAGAAAAATAAGAGAGAAAAAACATCATTAAAGAGAGAGATAAATAAGAGAGTAAAAAATAAGAGAGAGAAAAACATCATTAAAGAGAGAGAAAAATAAGAGTGTGAAAAATAAGAGAGAGAAAAACATCATTAAAGAGAGAGAAAAATAAGAGAGAAAAAAAATCATTAAAGAGAGAGAAAAATAAGAGAGTGAAAAATAAGAGAGAAAAAAACATCATTAAAGGGAGAGAAAAATAAGAGAGTGAAAAATAAGAGAGAGAAAAACATCATTAAAGAGAGAGAAAAATTAGAGAGTGAAAAATAAGAGAGAGAAAAACATCATTAAAGGGAGAGAAAAATAAGAGAGAGAAAAACATCATTAAAGAGAGAGAAAAATAAGAGAGTGAAAAATAAGAGAGATAAAAACATCATTAAAGAGAGAGAAAAATTAGAGAGTGAAAAATAAGAGAGAGAAAAACATCATTAAAGGGAGAGAAAAATAAGAGAGAGAAAAACATCATTAAAGAGAGAGAAAAATAAGAGAGTGAAAAATAAGAGAGAGAAAAACATCATTAAAGAGAGAGAAAAATAAGAGAGAAAAAACATCATTAAAGAGAGAGAAAAATAAGAGAGTGAAAAATAAGAGAGAAAAAAACATCATTAAAGGGAGAGAAAAATAAGAGAGAGAAAAACATCATTAAAGAGAGAGAAAAATAAGAGAGTGAAAAATAAGAGAGAAAAAAAATCATTAAAGAGAGAGAAAAAAAGAGAGAGAAAAATAAGAGAGAAAAAAACATCAAAAGGGAGAGAAAAATAGAGAGAAAAAACATCATTAAAGAGAGAGAAAAAATAAGAGAGAAAAACATCATTAAAGAGAGAGAAAAATAAGAGAGAGGAAAAATAAGAGAGAAAACATCATTAAAGAGAGAGAAAAATAAGAGAGAAAAACATCATTAAAGAGAGAGAAAAATAAGAGAGTGAAAAATAAGAGAGAAAAAAGTGTCATTAAAGAGAGAGAAAAATAGAAAAAAACATCAAAATAAGAGAGAAAAATAAGAGAGTTAAAAAGAGAGAAAAACATCATAAAAAAGAGAGAAAAATAAGAGAGAAAAAACATCATTAAAGAGAGAAAAAATTAAAGAGAGAAAAAAGAGAGAGAAAAATATCATTAAAAAGAGAAAAAATTAGAGAGGAAAAAAACATCATAAAGAGAGAGAAAATAAGAGAGAGAAAAAACATCATTAAAGAGAGAAAAAAAAGAGAGAGGAAAAATAAGAGAGAAAAAAATCAAAAGAGAGAGAAAAAAAGAGAGAAAAAAACATCATTAAAGAGAGAAAAAATAAGAGAAAAAAAAAAGAGAGAGAAAACATCATTAAAGAGAGAAAAAATAAGAGAGAAAAAACATCATTAAAGAGAGAGAAAAATTAGAGAAAAAAAGAGAGAAAAAACATCATTAAAGAGAGAGAAAAAGAGAGAAAAAAGAAGAGGAAAAAAAGAGAGAGAAAAAAGAGAGAAAAAAGGGAGAGAGAAAAAAACATAAGAGAGAGAAAAATAAGAGAGAGAAAAATCATTAAAGAGAGAGAAAATAAGAGAGAAAAAAAACATCATTAAAGAGAGAGAAAATAAGAGAGTAAAAATAAGAGAGAAAAAACATCAGAGAGAAAAAATAAGAGAAAAAGAGAGAGAAAAACATCAAAAAGAGAGAAAAAAATAAGAGAAAAAAAAACATCATTAAAAAAAGAGAAAAAAAAAAGAGAAAAAAACATCATTAAAGGGAGAGAAAATAAGAGAGAAAAAAAAAAAAACATCATTAAAGAGAGAGAAAATAAGAGAGGAAAAAATAAGAGAGAAAAAACATCAAATAAAGGAGAGA